ACACATACTCTACAAGTTTAGGGAGCAACATATACATATATCTTTTTTATTTATTCTCTTCAAAGACATGTTCTTCCTGGTTTGGGTTGCTTTTGGAAATAAAAAATAAAAAACATTTTCTTAATGACAGTAACCTGTAGCAAAAAACATTCTGTTGTTGCTCACCCTGCATTCTCCCTTACATCATTCTCCTACCCGTTTCACTCCAGTTGTGAAATTGCTCCGCTATCCATACATTTGCAGCAGGAAAATTCTTGCTTGAAACAATCAGGGGAAGGAAGCACTTCTCTCCTAGGACCTAGACATATAGTTCATAGTTGGCATAAAACAAGCCCAAAACACATATGATGACAGACTGACCAAATAGCTAAGATATTCACGAAAAGAATTCCTAATCTACCTTTTACGAAGGAGCAAACGGTTATCGAAAGAGCCAAACCCAATAACAAAATAAAATCCCGAAGAACCCTAAAATAATAAAAAAAAAAACAAAAAGAAAAAAACCCGTATGAACTAGTAGAAGCGACCAAGTGCATAATAGCAAAAAAGCAACCTCAAAGAATACCAAATGAGAACAGATCTAAATCAAAACAATAAGAGCCAGAGATCACTCGAATACAAATAATCGGCAATATAAAGAGCAGAAAATTATGCATGCATTCAGTCGTGGAATCAGTAAAAGAGAGATTACCGAGAAAATCGTGCGTACCAAAGATAGAAATGAAGAAGGGAAATGGAAGGAAGAGGGAAAAACAGGTTTCAGCCGGACAGGCAGGTTGCTTTATGCGATTGGGTCAGCCCGACTCCGACCCGTAATTGTATCCACAATAAGATAGGTAACGGAAGTTGGCGGGTTAATGGGCCCAAATTTTGGAGTCACTTACATGATAAAAAAGTTAAAATATTATATTTAATAAATATATTTATTAATTTATAATATTCACAAGAAAATAAAAATTTGACCTAATTTTTTAACAATAAAAAAGATTTATATTTTAATAATTTATTGATTGAATATTCTTAAGGAAAAATATGTAATTTTTTATTAAAATTTTATATTTTTTATAAATTATTTAAATTTTTATTTAAAAATTAAACAATTATGACTTGAAATTGATAGTTATAATTAACAGATACATATAATTTATTTGAATTTCTTATAATTTATTTGAATTTTCAAGCAAATCAGAAAAAAAAACATTGTATATTTTATTTTTAGCAACCATATAATAAGTAACTTAACAAAATCTTCATTTGTAACTTCTAGAACTAACTCAAGATTCGATTCCATCATCGAATAACACTTAAAAGATCGGTTAAGAACTCAGTATAAAACCAAATAAAACATAAATTTCACAGTGTTGACTTTAAGACAGCTTTCCTTAAGGTGTTATTTGTCTCCGCTCATAAAAGAGTTTATGATATGTTATGAGAAATTAACTATACTTTTCTAACTAAAGTTCTACTTTTATTGTTCTCCTACAAAATTCCAATAATATAATACTTTACAACCAATGCATATAAATAGTTCTAAACTACATTAAAAATTGACAGGAACTCCAAAAAAAAAAGCTCATCATCTTTTATACCAAGTAAGAAGACATCAGATTCCAACTGATTTTCATGTGATTAGGCATTGATGCTACGAAGCGCAGTAGATCCGGTTTAGAGCTAACTGCTGGATTTAACATTTCCGACTCATTTAAAACATGAACAAACTTCGCGATGTTAGGGAGCACCAGCTCCCTACAGTGGAGATGTAACAAGGGCACCTTAGATAAGACACTTCCCTTCTGTATATCAAGGCCTTCTGGCCGACGCAATTTGTAGGGTTTTTTTGTCACCGGCTCAATATCAACTCGAGGAGACTGCTTCCACCTCCGGTGCACAAACCAACCATACTTATAGTCACCGACAATTGGAGTACCAAGAGCTTCAGCGCAGTGGACACGGAGCTACAAGAATAAGAAAAATAATTACTCTAAAGAAACCTTCAAGAAAAGAATATATATTTTTTTAAATAACTTGAAGAAATGAATTATGGAACATCTTGAGAAATGTTCAAACGTGTGACCCTCAGGTTTCATCTAATTTCAATATTTGGCAACAACAAGAATAAATAGAAATTACTTAGTATCTACTTTAGTAGAACACTACTATGCAACTCTGAAAATGAACCCAGAATGCTTAAAGGCCAAGTAACTTCAAAATAATAAAACCCATTTATAGAGAGAGAGGCTTGGAATTGGAAGATTATGATGCCATAGAAAACATAAAGAGACTGTAATTTTACGCTAGCCACCACCTGCGATCAATGCAATATAAGATGAAGAAAATTCCACAACTATTCATACAGGGCTGCCGCTATTGCAGAGTAACTCTCCTGATTTCTACCTTCAAAACCTAGCATTAACAGCTTTGAACATGCAGTTGCACTTTTTGAGGTCCTATAGCCTATATTTTATATATATAAAAAAGCCCTATAGCCTATATTGCAGCCATCAAATTATGCCCTTTCAACCATTTGACTTACAAGTTTATTCAGGAGAAAAAAAATTTCAAGTTATTAGTTGTTGAGTTACAGATGGTAAAACCTTTTGTTCCATAAACAGTCCCAACGGATTATGAGGATCATTTACCTGATGCTTTCTGCTAGTAAGTGGTCGCAGTTCAATCCACGAACATCCATTTATTGTGGGACCAAGTACCCTATATTCTGTGATTGCCTCCTGTGAAGCTTCTAAACCTGATGACTGGGCCAAGACAACCCTCTCAGTCTTCCCATCATCAAGCAGCACCTGCAAGTTGCAATAATTGCCACACCATACTCAAGATTCTTGCAAATGAGTACAAACCGCTAAGCTACCGCACAATGTTATCAAATGTCTGCACACTCACTGAGAGGGCAGGGATAGAGGGGGCGAGAGATAGAACCTTGAAAGAGGTGCAGAAACTAATCCTTCCCTCTCTTTAGGAGATCCTATGACCAATGCCCAATATCGCTGATACATTGCTTCACATGCATCATTCCAAGCCTAAAATTTTTGAAATATAAGAATGAAACCATTTTTTTCAAAGCATGAAGTATAGGAAACATATACAATAATTGTTTATTAGGTTAGGTGGAAGAAGAATACCTTAAATGAAGATTTTGCCCCTTTTAAGTCACTGAACACCCAATGAAGAAGACTTATGCTTTCCTTTGTCCGTCCCATTATGAGCAGACCACTGCTCTCTCTGTCAAGGCGATGAACCTGAAAACATTTACAAGAAAAAGCAATTTTTTTTAAATAATACAAGATTAAGCAAATTAAAAAACAAATCATGGAAAACTCTTCCCAGGGGGACTAACCAGTGCAAGACCTAAGAATATTATTAGTAATTCCAGACTTATATTTAATTGCTACTCCTTCATATGCCATTTATATGTCATATTTAATATTCTAGACATAGGATATCTAAGAGCCAAATAAATAGTTTGGTCTTGTCCTATTGGTATACATACTGCTAGCAATGAAACAGTAGAGATATTCTGAGTGCATACATGTAACGGTTGTAACACTGGTATAATGGTGATTGTGTTCTTTGTCACTCATTGTCAATGGTGATTGTGGATCACGAACCCCTGTGAATGTGGATTATGATTTCCCTTATTTCCTAGCTTCTTTTGCCACTATTCTTACATCAATTTGCTACCATGGTTAAATTCTCGATATTGGTGTCAAATTTCCAAAGTTACAAACCTAATTATCCAAAATTTGAAAGAAAAAACTGCAAAGTAGTACAAGCAAAGCAAACTCGTAGAAAGATAATCTAATATTAAGAAGAGTATCCCTACAAGGCCTGACAGATTGCATCAGATATGTCTACTCAGAAATTTTAGAGAAAAAGAATACCCTTCTCAAGTGCTGAGTCATAAATACAGGAAAGAACGACATGATTGTTATGCATGGAAAGAATGTTCATACGTTTTCTGTTGAATATTACAACCCTATATATACAAATTTTTTAGGATTGAAAAGAAAATAAATAATTAATTATATATAATATAATGTGCTTTTATACTCTTTAACCTATTTCACTATATATGGTGTAATTGACCTTTATTCCCTTCAACCTAATTCGTCATTTCTCTAACACTCCCCCTCAAGCTAGGGAATCGATGTTGTCCATTTGCATCTTACCAATAAGAGTCTGTAATACTAGATTGCTCAAGCCTTTAGTCAATACATCTAGCAATTGAGAATTAGTAAGCATATACGAGGGACATATTACATCTGTAAAAATTTGGAAAAAAATATTTACTTTATTTCCACTCTATATTTAGGTGGTACAGGCGTCACATATATATTCAAAATTCCCACGTACAAATAAAAAATTACCCTTATAATAAATGAAGAAAATTGAGAAGAAAATATTCTGCTTCTCATTTTCTTGATGAATGATTTACACATATATATACAAATCTGCTGTTTCTAACAACCTAACAAATTTTGGAGAAATCCTAACAAAATTCTGGTTGAGGAGGAATTTTGTTGGTGACATCCTTCATTTACACAGAATGTACAACTCATAAACAAAAAATAACAACTGTAAATAAATGTATTTAATCCTAATTTATTTTTTTAATTATTTATTTTCTACACTCTCCCTCAATTTAGTTTACGTATATGTTGACTAAACTTAGATTGGATATTATGTCATCAAAGTTTCTCTTGAGAAGAGCTTTCGTTAGAATATCTGCAATCTATTGATTCGTTGGAATGTACATCAGAGTTATAGTCCCATCTTCCAATTTTTCTTTAATAAAATGACGATCGATCTCCACATATTTGGTTCTATCATGATGTAATGGAGTTTTGGCCATACTGATTGTTGATTGGTTGTCGCACCATACTTTCATAAGCATATTATTGAAAACTTTTAATTTTTCAAATATTTTCTTCAACCAAACACCTTCATAAATATTATGAGCAAGCGCTCTAAATTTTGAGTCTGCATTACTGCGAGACACAACTGACTGTTTTTTACTTCTTCAAGTAACCAAGTTACTTCAAACATAGGTACAATATCCTGATGTAGATTTCTTGTCATCTGTAGAACCTGCCCAATCCGCATCCATGTAGATTTCAACACCTCTTCTGTCTGTCTTCTAAAAGAATAAACCTTACCCTGGAGTCTTCTTGAAATACCTTAGAATCCGATACACAACACTTATGTGATCTTCAGTTGGCTGATGCATGAACTGACATACTGTAAAACCGATGTTTGGTTTTGTGTGAGCTAAATAAATAAGTTTCCCAATAAGTCTTTGGTATCTCCCTTTGTCAACCATTTTATCACTGATTCTGGATCCAATTTTGATGACTGAATCCATCAAGGTGTCAGCGGGCTTGCTTCCTAGCATCCCAGTCTCTTTTAAGAGATTCAGAATGTACTTTCGTTTAGAAACTAATATCCTCTTTTTTTATCTAGCCACTTCCATACCGAGAAAGTACTTCAATACCCCAAGATCTTTTA